GGATTGACATCCTCGTCAATGGTGAGCTGCTGCAGTGGCCGGGGAGATTTGGTACAGGCTCTCTGCCAGGAAAGGCATATTCTGCTCCTGGAGCTGGTCCTAACTGTGTCCTGGCTGCTTGTTCTTCAGGTGCTGCAGGAAACTTTCTGTGCCCAGCCAGTGCCCTGTCCTTCAATGCCTTCAAGACTGTGATAGATATCGACACTATTGGCACCTTCAACACCTCCAAAGTCCTCTTTGAGAAGTATTTCCACGTAAGTGGAACCAGAGCCAGAGGACTCGGTGGAGGGGCTCCTGTAGGCAGGGGGTTAGTGTCAAACAAACCACGCTTTGCTCCTGAGAAATTAAGGGAAGCATGGAGGGCAAAACAGAGCACAGCACCCATGTACCCAGGGCTGTGCTGCTGCCACTCACTCTGCTCAGCCCCAGTCTGTTCCCTCACAGGGACTGGGAATCCTGCTTGTCCCTACCCCTGGAACTTTAACCGTTGTGGCACCTTCCCATGCTTTGCCACATGCTGGGGAAGAAGCTGTGATCTGCTCCTCTTCCAGCTCCTCTGCTTTCCTGTGGCCTTTGCTTATCCCCTGCATCTCCCTGCTCTCTGGAGGGTCCCCACTAGTTGCCCTAGCTCAGTCAGACCAGGTGGGCAGTGATGCCTCAGCAGTACAGAGCTGGCAGTGCCAGCCCAGCTCTTGTCCCACTGCTCTTACATGAGAGCACTTGTGCAGCTCCCAGCCTAACACCACATCTCCTTTCCTTCCTCAGGACCACGGTGGAGTCATTGTCAACATCACGGCAACACTGAGCTACCGAGGGCAGGCCCTGCAGGTGCATGCTGGTACTGCTAAGGCTGCCATAGGTACCTAAGCACTCCTTGCTGGGGCTCTGAGCTGTGTGGGGCCAGTAAGCAAGCCAGTTCTTCACAAATATTGGGGTGGGAAGACATCCTTGGGAGAGGTGAATATGGATTGGTGTGGCTATTACATGCCTGATTTTGGGATGAAGCTCTTCTCTCCTCCAGGGCTCTTGTGGGGCCCTTTGCTCTTGGCCAGTCTTCTGTGTCCTCCAAACATTACTGGAATAGCTCTGCTCTCCTTCTCAGTCCTGTTGTGTTCCCTTCCCAGATGCCATGACCCGTCACCTTGCTGTGGAGTGGGGACCCAACAATATCCGAGTGAACAGCCTGGCACCGGGCCCCATTACCGGCACCGAGGGCTACCGGCGGCTGGGTGAGGGCAACCTGGGGCTCCTGTCTCTGCCTTGGTGGTGGCTTCCTGGCATCTGCTTGGGAGGGGACTGAGGGACCACCAGGGCTGTGCAGCTCATGGGGCTGTTGCTGCTGAGCACGACTGTCCCGTGCCTGCACTGGTGTGTCCCTTACGGGGGCCAGTCCTCCCCACATCCTTGGGTACCTCGCAGGGCACTGATTTTAGTCTCTCAAGCATCAGCTTTTTGAGCTTTGATGACATGATGTAACATGCTCAGCCCAGTCAGCTGCCCTGCCTGATGGCTGCAGTCCATCAGTGGAGTGCTGGTTCAGCCCTGGAGGCTGGGAAGGCTCTACAAGGCCCTGTCTTGAGCTCACTGTACAGTACAAACCCCACTTCTGGGTTTCAGCTCCCCTTGTTTAACTCTACTCAGGCCTTTGGCCCTGGGCTGTCCCCAGGGCTGTGCCAGGATCTCACCAGGTTTCCTGGGCTCTCAGCAAGCCCCATGCAGTGTTTGCCAGCAGTGGTGGTGGGCTGGTGGGCCTGTGATCGAGGCTGACTTCTCTTCTTCCGCTCCTAGGTGGGAAGTTTGCTGAGGAAGCAAGCCATTTCGACATGATACCCCTGCAGCGTGCAGGGAACAAGACGGAGATCGCCCACAGCACACTGTACCTGGCGAGCCCCCTCTCCTCCTATGTGACAGGCACCACCCTGGTCGTGGATGGTGGGAGCTGGCTGACCTCTGCCAACAGCTTCCCTGCCTTGCTGGGTATTGCTTCATCCTCTGCTAAACTCTAGGTGATGTGCATTTCCCCCTCCATGGGACTAGAGCAGGGCCTCTGTCACAAACCCTGTTGCCCTATGGTACTGGGGGTACAACTGCTCTTGCAGTGGGTACGGTGTTACCTTCTGCCGCTGTCCTGGTTGTCCCAGGCTCTACCCCTCCTGAGGCACATACTGTGTTGGGGAAGAGGCAGGTTCTGGGTGTTGGGGTCTGTGGGTGAGGGCAGCCGGCCCAGCTCTCAGTTTGGCAGTGCTTGTTCTCAGACCTTGCTCTGCCTTTGGGATGGAGGAAAAGGGTCACACCCCGTGGTGTTTTCCAGAGCAGGCACAGAGCAAAGGGAGAACATCTCTGCATCCTCATGGAGAGTCCTTAGGGATGAGGTGGGAAGGGCAGGAGACCTGGCTGGGTTTTTCCTCTGAGCTGGCAGTTGACATGGTACTCTTTGTTCTGCCAGAGGATGCTTGTCTGGACACTGCTGTGTGTTCCCTGAAGTGATAGGATGTTCCTTTTCTGTGTCCCACCAGCAGGATTGGGCACAGAGAGTCCTGACAGCCTCTGCCTCCCTTTTCCTTCCTTCCTTGCATGAGCTACTGTAGCATGTTGTGCATTACTGCCTGTGTCTGCAGAGGTGGGAAGGGAGCTGGTGCTTCCTGGGAGAGGGCTCTCCTTCCTTCCCCCTTCTCTCTGCAGGTGCTGCCCCGTGAGCAGGGCAGGACTGTACCCACCTCTGTGCTGTCTTGCAGATTTCTGGGCTGCAGGAGCAAACAAAAATCACTGATGGACAGCCTGAGACTGACTGACGGACAGGAAAGGGACCGAACGCTGCTGCGCTGGGACACCTCGTGGGGTTGGGTGATGCTGCTGGTCCTGCATCAGCTGGGAGGAGGGAGCCCCAGCGGTGCTGTGGGGAGCAAGCCCACCCTTCACCCCACTGTTCTGTGCCATTACTTCCCTCTGTGCTGATGTGGCTGAGGGTGCGGGGACAGCACAGGGTGAGCGGGCTGTGTTCCGAGTTGTTCTGACTTTTCCTATGTCCCAGGCAGTGCCACCCATGGATTGTCCGTCTTCTTCCTCTTCTGTCCCCCATCTCAGCCTGAGAGCTGCCCAGGACCCCCAGCAGCAGCTTCTTTTGGGGCCTGGGGTTCAGTTCAGCTCTGGGGCAAGCTTGGCATGGCAGGAGGAGCTGGGGGCTCTGGGAGGGGAAACAAGGGCCCGGCTGGCCCCTGGCAGTGGGAATCTGACACAGGGCAGTGGTCCCCAGAGGCTGCCATGGATGATGGATGCAGGAGCAGAGGTAGTGTGAGGTCACATCCCACTGGAGCTGGCTCTAGCTGCTGTGGGTCACAGCAGTGTATCTCTTGGGAGCCTGAGGTCTCCAGTTGTCTGTCTGGCAGCCATCTGTCTGTAATGCCAGTATCAGGCTGTCTCCTTCCTCCACAGGGACACTACAGCTGAGGGTCAATCAAGGGCTAGATGAAATCCTCTTCCCAGCAGGGTGCTGAGCTACCGAGCGGCTGGAGCTGAGCCTGTGTCTGGTGCCAGCACCTGGGGGGGGACACACGCTGCTGTGTGCAGCAGCCTGCTGCTGCTGCCAACAGTTTTTAAGCTTATCCTGAATTCTGTGAAGGTTTTCCTACTTGATTGCATTTCCTAATTCATTGTAGACTCACAGGTTTTGCTCCTTCCTCCAGGCCATGAATAAAGAACTTCCACCCTGAGCTGTGATGCCTCTCATCACTTTGACTGTGCCAGGGGATGATCCTGAAGGTTTGGCTGCTGGAAGCTTGGGAATGCTTGTGCTCCTTGTCTTGTGAGGCAGCAGCATCAGGAGCTTTAGCAGTCTTTGGTCAGAGCGTTGCTGCAGTAGCTCGCTGCTGCTTGAGCAAAGCCTGCACGTATGCCCTGCCATGCTGGCTGATCCTGCTGCTCCAGACTGGGCCCTGAGAGAGGGTGGAAAACTTGTTGCCACCAGCAGAGCCTTGTATGGTCCCAGTGCTGCAGGACAGAGGTGCCAAGAAGACTCGGGGGGAGACCCACTGACCCTGTCAGTGGAGATGAGGATGTGGTGCTTGAACTGGGGTCCTTTGCCTGAGTGTCTTCCGGGGTTTGCCTCCAGCCACACTATCCCTCTTTCCAGGTATCAGGATGAGTATTTTCTACTGGAGAATGTACGGGTTTGATGTTTGTTGGTCCCTGCTGCAGTCTCCTGTCTCAGGTTCCAGGAGGGTCCATGTACGGAACCATGTTTTGTTGAACCCCACATAAGCGAGGTGCGGACTGTCCCGCGTGTAGGAGAAGTTGTGGTCCCTCGGAGAGGTCTTGGCTTTAGCCACACCCTGGCAGCCCCTCGGTGTGCGGGGCACATGGAGACACACCCCGACCGCCGGGGGCAGGATCAGGCCGAGCTGGGTGGTGCAGAACTGCCGCTAACGGGCTGGGGACGCCAGCAGCCGCGCGAATAAAACCGGGGGGGTTTGGGCAGTCGGGGGACAGAGGCTGCCCGACCCCGGGGCGGGGCTCAAGGGGCGGCTGGGGGGCCGCTGCCTCCCGGTGACGGTTCCCCCCCTCCAGAGGGGTGCGCTGGCCCCAGTGCTCCCCCCCGCCAGTGCCCCGTGCCCCGCGGGGATGGGAAAAGGCAGCACGTGCAAGCGCCCCGCGCGCGCCGGACCGGGGAAAGGGGCGTGGCCTCTGCGCGGCCTCGCTCGGCCGCCAGGGCGGGTGGGCGGGGCCTCGGCACAGGCAGGCGGGTTACGTCACCGTCCACTGGCCGCCGCTGCGGCGGTGGTGCCAGGTTGGATCTGGGGGTTCTCTGCCGGCTGCGGTAGAGCGGCGGCGCGGGCGGGCGGGTTGTTGGGTTGTTTGTCGGCGCCGCCGCCTCCTCACCGGACCGTTGGGAGCAACCGCGTTCCCAGGCGCTCGGGGCCGCCCCTCCCGCCGGGCGGAGCGGGGCTGTCCCTGGTGGCGGCGGGGTGGAGCGGGGCTGTCCCCGGTGGCGGTGCTGCGGGCGGGGCCGGCGCCGCCTCGCACAAAGCCTTGCGCCCGGGAGCAGGCGGAGCTACCGGCATCACCTCCCCGGTACCGGCAGCGCCGCGCCGGGCGGCCGTGATGTGAGCGGGTGATGGCCGCGGGGCATGGCCGCCGGGCAGCGGCGGGGCGGGCGGCGGCGGGCGCTGAGCGCCGCCGGTGAAAATGGAGCCGCATCCGCCGGCGGCCGTGCCCGAGCCCCCGTTCCCCCGGGGGCCGTGGCGGGACGGGCCGAGCCCGGAGCTGGAGCTAGAGCTAGAACCGGAGCCGGGCCTCTGGGCACCTGAGGCCGCCGAGCCCGCCCTGGGGCCGCAGCCGTGGTCCCCGCCGGAGCCGGGGGGCTGCCTCGACGAGCCCCCGGCCCGGACCGAGGAGGAGCCGCGCCTCCGTCCCGTATTCGACGCCTTGGACTGCGATGGCGACGGCTTCGTGCGGGTGGAGGAGTTCGTCCAATTCGCCACGGCCTACGGTGCCGAGCAGGTGAGGCCGCGGCACCGGGGCACCGGCCCGGGCCCGCCCCGGCGTGGGCAAGGCCGCCTCCCGCACCTGTCCACCGGGGGACCGGGTGCTGCCTCTCTGGTTGGTGTAACCCGGCCGAGCCTCCCTGGGGCCGCCGGTAGTCCCGTGCGTGCCCGAGGGGCAGCTCGTGTCCACGTCGAGCCTCAGGAGAGCGGGCCATGAGGGAGAGCAGTGTCCGTGTCCCGGTGAAGGGCGTGTGCGGGCTTCAAGGGGTGCGGGGGACACGCAGGGAGCTGGACAGAACCGATTTTCCAGGTCCCAATCCGCTTGGAGCAGCATCCCAGCGGTGCCGCTGTGCGCCCGCATCCCCTCTCTTTGTTCTCCATCAGTACCACATTGAGGTGTGAGCAGCTCCAGCGTCTGAGGGACCAGCAGCTGCATCCCGGGATCTTGGGATCGGCTACTTCCCCCCGGCATGGCCTTGCTGTCCCCACGCTGGGTGTGGGGTACCTTGCTTATCCCGGCTCTGTGGTTTTTTCCCTTCCTTTCTGCTGCTTTCGGTCACGGTGAGCTTGTGTTTCCTTGCACCGGATCAGATGTGATGTAATTTGAAGCTGCCTGGTATGACCCAAAATGGAGCGAGCCCCAGCAGCATACCAGGGAATGGGAATGGATTTGTGCACGGTTTGTTGGCCTGTGCTGATGTCTCTACAAGAAAAAAATGTTTATTCTTTTAATGCGTGCAGGTATTGGGAAGTTCCTGTGTGCTCACCCGGGAGATCTGCCTTAATTGTCCAGCTGAAGCTGTTGGGCACGTATTAAAGTGGCATGACAAAGCAAATCATCTTGTGTGAAGGAGTGTTTTTGTGGAGGAAGGGCTTTTCATCTCTGTCCTCATGGTGAAAATGCTTCTTAAAGATAAAACAGAGGCATTTCTTGTAGAAAATAGCTCTATAAAGTGCAGATGTGTGACTTCTCTGCCAGATTCCTGCTGTGGTAAGGGGCACTGTGCATCTCTTACTGCCTCACTGTGTGGTTAACCAGGTAGCGTAATGGCACCCGGGGAGTGTTACAAGATCATCTCAGCAACGTGCTGCTGCATCTGCTGGGTGGGAGAACCTTTATTCAGCGTAAAGCCTCTGACTTGCATCTTCCTGCTGCGGTCCAGGCGCTCCCTGCATCCCCCCCTTGCTCTTGCTGGCAGAGAAAGCAGGAGGTTGTGTCACTCTACGGATGCTCATGAACCTTGGGCGTGATGGCCATGGCTTTGGGGCATAGTGGGAGCTGGCCAGGGGGCTTTTTGCCTCAGTGTGCCTCTCCCTTGGTGTGAAGAAGGTCAAGTGCATGGGAAGCAGGATGTCCAGGGGGGGGTTGTGTTGCTAAAAGCTGCCTGTTCTCATGGACCCCACTTAGCAGTGGCTGGCTGTAGGCTCCTTGCCTTGGCTGTCCCTCTGAAGTGGCTTGTTCCTTCCCACTGCTACCAGTAACACTGTCTCTGCTGAAATACTTTATGCTTTTTAGGCACATTTATCTCCAGCAAGAGGCTTTTATAACTAACTCCCACCATGCACAACAACTGTGTCTCTGTACAGCAAGTGCTGAGCACCCTGATGAGGGTGATGTGGCAGCAGCCAAGCCAACAGGTAACAGGCAGCTTAGGGAGTGCAGCCAGGTTCCTTTTGCATAGCCTGTCAATGGAGAAGAAGTAATATTTGGGGTTCCTCTGCATGCAAGAGGGGTTATTAGGAGCCTGCAGCTTAGATAAGCAAGAGGGCACACTGAGTGTGAAGGAGGAGGGGGTGGGGGTGGGCTCTGTGAGCTCCCAGCAGACATGCAGAGTAATAAAGGGAGATGTTCTGGCGAAGTTTCTTGACCTGTTTTGTGTAAGCAGGTGTAACTTGGGCCAAAAAGAGGTGTTTTGGAAAATGGAAACCCAGTTTGGGTGAAAGTTAAGGGATAGGAGCATCACTGGGTCAGTGAAATGATGTTGAGGCAACTAAAAGGAATTTTCAGGGTGCTGCCGTCAAAGGTTTTAGTACATCTGGAACTGGGAAGCTTGAAAGAGAGGTTCCTGGGTTGGATGCCTGAAGGAGGTGTTGGGTAGCAGTCGGCTGGGAGTTGTTAATGACAAGCAAATTCCAGTCCTCTTACTATCGAGGAGGTACCTGCTTCCTTCCCTTCTGCCTGCTTCCTACCCGTTTCTGGGTGTGCGCATGGGAGGTACGCATGGGGTGGGGGGGGGGCAGATGGGTACATTTAGGCAGAGCAAGTCATCAGCTGATTCATCTGAGGGCTCCAAGAGGGCTGAGGAAGGCTCGTGTGAGTGTGTGTAACCACATGTACCAGGGAGCTGGAGAGCAGCAAGTGTTGTCTTAGCGTTCAGTAAAACACCAGCGGCATTTATGGGCTACTGAGCTCAGCGCTGTCGGGTTACTTGGCTGAAACAATTATTAGCTAAATGTCAAAGGAAAGAGACCAGCTGGCGTTTATTCCCTAAAAATGACATGACTGTGAATCCCTTAGGATGGGGGTTTTTCTTTGCATGATGGCAGTCATGGGTAGAGCAATGGGGGGGGGGGCTTGGTTTGGATTTTGGGTTGGGGTTTTTTTGGTGACGTAGCTTGAGTTGTTGAAAGACTTCCTTAAGGCATTTCGTGGCTGCGGTATGTATCGGTGGTGCAGTGCTGGTACGGGCTAGAAGAGATTGAGGCATGGAAATCTTAAGATGGTTTGTTCTTCTCTGAAGTGATAAAAGTTGATAGGGATTGGGGCTCTCCGTGGTAAAAGGTGTATGGGAAGGATGATGCCAAGGCCCCAGCAGTGAGGTGACACCCTAAATAGGGGTGAGCTTGAGCAAGGACGATAACAGCCATGTGGAGGTCCTCCAGCACTCTGTAATGGGGGTGTTTGGCAGACCCTGACCATTGTGCTGCTTGGAAAGCTTGCTAGGACCTGTTGTACTTGTAAACAAGATGTGGGGTAGAAAAGCCTTGAAGCCAGCTTGACTTTGGGTGTGGAACATCTGGACCACTCATGAGTAACATGTGAGGCAGCTTCTAATGGTGTTGTATTGTCATAGTATCACAGAATCCCAGACTGGTTTGGGTTGGAAGGGACCTTAAAGCTCATCCAGTTCCAAGCCCCTGCCACGGGCAGGGACACCTTCCACTAGACCAGGTTGCTCCAAGCCCCATCCACCCGGCCTGGGATGGGGCATTTTTGCCGTCTCCTTTCCTTCCTCTTTATCGCCGCACTTCAGCAGGGAAGGGATGCTCCCTTGGAGCTCTCTGTGTGCTGCAGCAGTGAAGGGGATCCCTCTGGCTGGTACCAAAGCCTGCAGTAAGGTTGGTTAGGCAGGGAGCTGGGAAGTAGAGGCACACTTAACATAAGTTTTGTGTCGCCTTGTAAAGCAAGGAGGGTCATGTCTTGCAGTTCTGTGGATTATGCAGAATTTAAGGCTGTTGTGCAGTGATTTTAAACCAGCAAATCGATGGTTTGTCTCACCTGTTGTATGGTTGCACTGTGTCTGTCTCACTGGTGACAGAGGCAGAGCCTTTGCTCAGAATCACAGAATCCCAAGGGTTGGAAGGGACCTCAAAAGATCATCTGGTCCAACCCCCCTGCAAGAGCAGGGTAACCTAGAGTACATCACACAGGAACTTGGCCAGGCGGGCCTTGAATATCTCCAACATAGGAAGATTGTTGCTCTAGAAATGCAGGGTTGGGGCAGAGGAGCACCAAGTGTTTGTAGGGCATGAGCAGAGGCTGCGCTGCTGGCATCTCGGGGTTTCCCTCCCTGGTTTTGTTCTTCTTCAGCTCTAGAAGACAACTGGGGTGGAAGAGCCTCTTGCACCGCTTGATCTCGCTGCTCCACTAAGTAGAAGTCCCAGAGTTTGTGTAACCTATTTTCAGTCACCCCGAGCTCTACAACATCCCTGTGCTCTCACAGAGATCTTCAGCCTTATTTTTAATCTTGATGAGCAGGTCAAGCTTCATTTCAATGCGAGTTGTTTTGCTCGCTTGAACATTTACATCCTTTGGGTATCTGTCCTTAACTACAAGCCTTCATCTCCGTATTCAGCTTTTATCTTCTCCTTGCTTGGTGATTTCTGCAGCTTTTGATCAGGTTTGTTGTGCTTTCCTCCCACCACCTTTTCAGCTTCTTGTAGTGAGTGCGTGCCCAGCCTGAGCTGAGTACTGCAGAACTCACAGCTTGGGAGTAGCAGGTATTGCTCCAGGCAGCACCTGCAAAGAGTCCTGGGCTTTAGTTTTAGTTGGACTTGATCTTAAAGGTCTTTTCCAACCTAGTGGATTCCATGACTCTAAACCACAGCTCTTTATTGCCTTCCCCCTCTCAATGAATTCAGGCTTGCTTTTCCAGCTCTCCTCTGATGGATCCTTTGGGAACTGTGCACAGACCCTGGCTCAAATGCTTCTTACCTCCAGTGTAGTCCTCTCAGAGTTGCTGACATTGCATCTGATCTTGAACACCCTCCCTATTCCCCTCAGTCTTCTCCCACTTCCCTGTGAAATCTAGCAGTTTGGATCTCTGTCATAAGGCAACCTCAATTCTTATTTATATTTTGGAGGGCTCTTGCACCCTTTGAGCAGAGGAAATACTGGCTTTGCTCATAAAGGGATTTCTAAAATTATCCTGCATGGATTTGCAGGCTGTGTCAATGTGAGTAAAGCTTAAATTATGTCCAACTGTGTTGCTGCTGCTGCTGTATGTTACAGGGGTTTTAGCTGCTGTTAAACTTTTGTGACCACTCTGGTCAAGTGCCTAAAGGGGCTACAAGAAACCTGGAGAGGGGCTTTGGACAAGGGCCTGTAGGGACAGGACAAGGGGGAATGGCTTTAGCCTGACAGAGGGGAGACTGAGATGAGCTCTTAGGCAGAAGCTCTTCCCTGTGAGGGTGCTGAGGCGCTGGCACAGGGTGCCCAGAGAAGCTGTGGCTGCCCCATCCCTGGCAGTGTTCAAGGCCAGGTTGGATGGGGCTTGGAGCAACCTGGTCTGGTGG